CCTTCTCGAATTCGAAGCTGTACCAAAAGATGTTAGTAATTCAATAAATCCGTGAGTATGGACTCGCTCAACTGCGAAGCCCACGAGGGGCTCGGAGTATGTTTGGATCATACTGTGAGGAATGTCAAGCTTAAGAAAGGTTGGACAGTACAACACATCAGCAGAGCTGCCTTGATCAACTAGAGTCTTTTGGACCTCCCAGTTGGCTACTTCGACCGAAATGACCATGGGGTCATCCTGGTTGAGGCTTATGCCTTCATAATCGTCATCAGTGAAGATGATGGGAGAAGTTGATGGGTTCATCTTGGAATCCGAGTTGGTGGAATTGTCGATGTTATGAACATTGCGTAAATGTCGCTTTCTGGCAGAGTTAGAACTTCCTCCTCCAGCGAAACCTCCCGAAATGGTATTAATGATCCCGCGCAAATTATTCTCGACAGAGGGTTTATCTCCGTGTTGTGGATCGGCACTGTTTGCACTGGGTTTATTTTCTTCACGCGCAGGTGCTTGTTGGTAGGTGCCATGTTCTTGATGACCATGGTGACCCTGGTACCGTCCTTGGTATCGATTTGAATACCGACCTCGTCCTCTACTGCGTCCTCGGAAACCTCCGCGAGAATCTTGACCTCGTTGGACTTATTGTCCAAGGTGACCAGCTTGAATCAACTCTTCGATTTTGTCTTTGAGGCTCCAACATTCCTCCGTTGTGTGCCCATAATTCCTATGATATCGGCAGTGTTTGCTCTTGTCGGCATTAGCCGAGTTGTGGGCCAGAGGGGGCAGGGAGATCAGATCTGCATGGTTAGCTTCCTCCAAAATATTGACTCGAGGAGCATTAAGGGGTGTGTGAAAATCATACCTGGGGCTTCGTACTTGACGAGGTCTTTTTGATCGTTGATCAACGTGATTCTTTTGCTTCTCCTTGTTACTGGATTCTCCCTTGAGAGTGAGATCATCTCGGATAGTGTTGCGGAATGCCGCATGTTCTTCCATCTGTATGTATCCAGCGGCGCGTGCTCTCAGGTCGTCCATACTGGCTGGCTGGTGTCAGCATAGACTGTCAACAAAAGGTCCAGGTTTGAGTGCCATCAGCATGGAATGGAGGGCGACTTCTGGATTTAGATTTCGGATTTTGATGGAGACATTGGCAAAACGTTCCATAAAATGCCTGAGAGATTCGTCGTCTCGTTGTCGCAAGTTAGATAACGTTGCAGAGGTGATGTGGTGAGGCCTGCTAGTGGCGTATTGGGCAGAGAAAAGACGGACCAGAGTATCAAAACTATCTACCGATCTGGGTGGTAATTGTGTGTACCAACTAAGAGAGGCTCCCTTGAGCGACGTTGGAAACACGCGGCACATGATGGCGTCATCATTCGTGTAAAGGTTAACCTGAGTCACATATGCGTCAATGTGCTCGTCAGGGTCAGTGGTTCCGTCGTACCTGTCAATGTTTAACGGTTTCCAAGAAGGGAGAAGTGGAACTTCCATAATTCCATCGACGAAAGGGTGTCGTCGAGTGGAATGAAAGTCATGCTCGGGACGGCTGATATGAGTATGTACAGATCGGTGAGTGCGTGTGGGCTCCGGTGGATACGTCGGATCAGGAGAGGACTCGTTCTCGCCCTCGGTGGGAGGAACGTGGCTTGCATGATGTGTGTGAGGTGGTTGTTGATGTTGTTGCCACTGGGCTCGGAATGCGGCTTGTTCGGCACGTAACTGTTGCAGGTCGGCTTCATGTTGTTTACGAAGATTTTCCATCTCCGCTGCATGTTGTTGTTGCATCAATTCGATCTGTTCAAGTAGCCTTCGTAAGGCCGGGTTGTCTTCCATATTCGGCGTGCTCGAATGTGGGTGCGGTATACTCGTTGCTCTGTTGGTCTGACTTCGAGTCGAAACCATAAGGGTGAAGGAGGAGAAGTTTTACCAGGCCCTCCTTCTAGCACCAAATGTACTTACACGAATCAAATCGTCTTCCTAACTCGAATAAGTCATCTCTTCTGTTGAGCCTGGCTGAGAGTGTACGAGGTTGATTGGTGGAACGAATTCCTTCTCTTCGGTCTCCTTGCTCGGGCGTCTCGGATGTACCTGCAAAAAGGACTCCGACGATCAAGTTAGTCTTTTTCCTTCGTTCATTATCATACTTATCCTTTACCTGAGTGGAGCGGTTTTCCGATGTAACTGCTATAGCGGTTATCCGAGATGAGTTAACTATGGTTAACTCGGTCATTATTATCACGTGTTATATATTCGACGTTCTTTATATACCTTGGTATTGGTACTACTGACTTCACGGTCTCAGTCAGCTAATGTTTAGTCAACATTCTTATGTTATAATCTTGGCGTGACCTCGGTTTCACATCGAGGATGGGATATGGATCTCGGTGTGACCTCGGTCCTCGTCCAGGGTGGTACAATATCTAATAACTAAAATTGATCCATTCTTTTTGTGTTTGCTACTGGTGTGAAGTTACAGTCCTAATAATCAGTCACCCAATAAGGTTTTAATGTTGCTTACCTCTTTTGCTTCTTTCTTTCATTGGCAAATAAATTGTGTATAGTCTCCATTGAAAAAAATTTCTATATGAATTACTTATTTATGGGAGTGGAGTCATTTGGACGGATGCTAACATGTGAGAGCATGGCATACATATATTTTTCAATTGAGACTACACACAATTTATTTGTCGATAGAAGAAAAAAGCAAAAGAAGTAAGTATCAATGGAACTTGTTTGCGTGACTAACCATCGGGATTGCAATTTCACACTAATAGCAAACACAAAAAGAATGGGTCACCTTCAAATAGATATAATGTCTCCATCACAACATTACTTAAAAAAATAGATTTATTTGAAGATGTGAATAATAGTTTCAACACGACAACTTACAAGACTTATCAAACATGTAAATTTTAAGTAAAATGTTAATTTTATAAATACCCATTTAAGAACCCAATCCATTTAATAATATTAAATCGTATTTGCTAAATTAAAAACATATATCCAATGGTTGGTATATGTCTCACTCAGGAGAACATGTTTAGTTCCACACGCTATCATCCGTCATAACTTATAAGCATACGCTTAGTACGAGAAAGGAAACTAAGAAAAATGTAAGAATCATGATTCTTCTAGTTTAATGTAGGTCTTGACTTTAAGTTATGAGGATAATGATTCTTCTAATTAACCATATGTCTTCACTTTAAATTATCAGATACAATTTGGAATTAAAGTTTTAATGTACTAGTTTTACTCGGTTGGAACATAATCATCCATTAGAGAATATTTAATCCCAAAAAAATGAATATAGATATTTGACCGCTTCTGAATTATTTACGAGTAATTTGTTTGTATATAGATAGTATTAAGAATTTTTATGATGTTATTTAATAAAAATTTATATATGGTACTATATATTCGATCTTTTATAATAAATAAGTGATAATTTATTTTAGAATAAAAAATACTTGAATTCATAGTTAGTTCTGATCTAAGTATCTTTTAATAACTATTATGAAATCCTTATGAAAATTGATTTATGATGACAACTAAATGAAAACTAACAACTTTATGTTATTTGAATATCTTAATGTAATCTTAATTTTTGAGAAGTGGGCATGAATATTATTATTCGGGTATATCGAGGATCATACTCTTCTTATAATATATTAGTCTAAAAACATTTTCATTATCCTCGTTGAAAAATAATACTAACATTTATTCATTTAAATATATCATCTAATTTAATATTTTTGTCAATTCGCTTAATTTAATCACATAAAATAAAATCTACTAATAATAAATAATTAATATAATTATTTTATAATATATTAGCCCACAATTAATTATTGAAATATAAAATTCCAACGCATATAACATAAGTTTTTTAATAAAAGAAAACTCACGTGCCTAATAGCAGAAGCTACAACAATATGCCGCAATTTTAAGACGTTTTAGATATATTTAAATTAACTTAAAGGCTTAAAACAGCTGAACGATTTGTTTTTTAAGGTAAACTCAACCAAAACAAAGTTGGTAGTACTTGGTTCAAAGTATTAGACAAAGAGTACATAGAATTAAAATCCTTTAACAAAAATTATTTGTGCACTCCTAACTTCATTAGTGCAGTAAAATTCTTCATCATAATAAATACGGTACTCGATCATATTTGTGCTTACTTCTGTAATCTGATATGTTTTCCAAGAATACGATGTGCTTTGTAAATAGTCTAACCAAGAATAATCCAGTTTCGTGGTGTTAGTTTTCTGCTTCTTTTGTTACTACTAAAATAAGAAAATGTAAGAAAGAAAGAACAAAATGGTGCCAGGAACCACAAAGTTAATGTTAATTAGCTAATGTTTACTATGTGAACCTTTTCGCTTCTTTCATAATTTCAGCAGCATTTTTCATATCCAAATTTCCGAATTTACTTGTGATTATACTTTATGATGTGCATCCTAGGAAAGTAGTTTTAAACTGGTTTAAGCTCAAGGTGTTGTTTGTTTTCTTTAGGAAATTGGTTCCAGCAAATTTTGGTCGAGTTTATTGCCAAGTTCTGCAATGAAATGATTAATTTCAATTTATCTTCAACATTTATATAATTTTTTTATCATGCAGATTCAAATTGCTTTCGCTAAAAATTTCTTAATCCAGCAACCAGAATTAAACAAGATTATTAATCATTTGTTTTTATTCAGAAAACTTAATGCAACCATTTGTCTGCATTTTGACTGTTCTTATCTATCTCAAGGTAAACGAGCTATCACAATTGTTGTGTACAATAACCTTATTGAATATTGGTTTGTAAGATAATTACTCTAAAAATCATATTTATCATTATATTTAATTGATTGATTATGTAATCATTTTTACAATTATAGTAGATAGAAATTAAACTCAAGATAACGCAGGACTTCAAATAAATGAAACTCAGTATGATTGAACTTGGCAAAAATATATATCTGTAATATAAAGAATTAATTAAACTCAAGATAACGCAGGACTTCAAATAAATGAAACTCACTATGATTGAACTTGGCAAAAATATTTAGTTGTAACATAAAAAATTTCTGTTCCATCAATTCATTGCTTTCATGTCCAAGTGTTAAAACCATTAGAAACATATGGTTATGTAAACAATCAATTCTTGAAGGCGTGAACTAAAACCATTGAATCTTTAGCAGCGAGCAAAACGGGTCTATATTGCTGCCAGCAATTTCATGTTGGTAACTGAGTGTGAATATACAAAGAATATCTTCAAATCAACTTGAAGCTGGGAAGCCATTTCTACGATAACAAGATGTACATGGGAACGGTGGTTCTAGCCTTAGATCTATAGTACATTTTCTTCTTCTTGTAGGTTCCATTTTCAACTGTTATCACTATCTTCCCAGGTTCACTGATGTAAAAGGAGTTTCTAGTGCTGCTACCCTCTACATTTTGGTTTTGCAGTAATACACTGTATGAGCCTTCATCATCTGGAATGAACTCTTCCTTGTAGGTCACATCCCATCCCACCACAGTTGCATCCCACGTTAGTGTTACTCCAAGCTAGACACATCCCAAAATCAAATTACAACAAAGCAAAGTCCAACATGCTAAATAATATAAGACTTTAGGTGCATGTGCATTCAATTTGAAACCAAAATAAATTCATGTTGTGTACCTCTTTGACCGGAAATTCAACTCTAGAAACCGTACTTCCTTTGATTTTAAGCTCTTGAGCCTTAACAGAAGGCGAGAAATCATCATCATTGTTCCTCCTTAGACCACCGTATTCACATGGAAGATGTTCCGCGGCTATAGACCTTGAAAAGGCACAATGTTAACCGAAGTTGAATCAAATAAAAATTCAGAGAATATGACACTAGTGTTCATGTTAAGCACACTCACTTGAGAAGTGTCTGCGTGACCTTATGTGGCCTAGCTAAGATGAACTTCTTTTTATTTCTCTGGTTCATGAACCTTGAGAATAGGACTTGAGACGTGTAGAACCAAAATGGAGCATACACAATAATCTGCAAATCAGAAAACGGAGGAAAACAAAATCAACCAGAATTATGCTATTTCAATTTAGATCAAAGTCCTAATAGCCACTAATTTCTGATCACTTTTATATTTACTTCGTGAACACCTATTATTTCTCTTTATCTTTTTTCTTATGATATTCTGATCAAGTTTTATATCTTTTAGATATCTCCACATTTTTAAATGCTCGTGCAACACCTAATATTTTTTTTATCTCTCTTCTTTTCATATCGCATCACCAATCGTATTAATTACTAATTTCTCTTGATCTCTTCATAGCTCTCCCATGTGTCTACACTAAATCAAGGAGTGTCTAAGAATCTTTTTCCTATTCTATTACCTATCATATCTACATTTTCTCTCTTTCTCACCCTAGGTGTTAGGTTTCCATGAATAAGTATTATTATATATACTAACATTTTTGTGAACGAGCTCAGGGTAGTAGTTCTGAAACAGAAATAGAGTTCTTTTGCTGAGTGAGTTGATCTCCTTGGTTCCATGGATTGGTGTGCTCTTCAAATCAAAAACCTGAAGAATCGAGTCCACTCCTCCTTGTCTAAAGTTGAGCTTCTGAATAGCCTTTTCCATGAGCTGAATCCGCCACCTCAAAAACTTGTCACCTTTGAGATGTGTCCCAAACGTCTTCTTGTAGAAGAGCCTGTCCTTGAAAACCCCACAAACATGGTAACACACAGGACGACCCTCCCTATCCCTACTGCACAAGTACCCTGCATTCCCAAACTCAGCAGCCAAATCCTGATCATCAATTATGCGGTCAATGTCGTTCTCACGTCGCCATATGAGAGTCTTCTGAAGCATGTCGAAGGCCTCATTGACTTTGTAATCCTTGGCCTTCAGGAACTTCCTCAAAACAACATCAGTGCCCTCGTGAGCCTTGCTTGGCATCAAAGGAACACCCCAGAGAGAAATCTCTCTAAGCCGTTCCCTCGCCATAGCTACATCTTCTGGTGCAGCTTTCTTATCCGGTTGCCCTAACAAAAAGTTTCCAAGAATGGCGTTCTCAACCTTGCAACGGAACTCCAGCAACGATTTCTTTATCTTGAGTTTGATCTCAGCGGGACTTGGGGTCCCGTTATTGTTGTTATCTGCCACCAAAGATGCGACCTCAGGATCATCATCGAGATCACAATCATGATCTTCTTGGGGTCTCTCCTCCTTGAGCTTGTCGTTGTTGTTGTCAAAGAAATTGAAGAAAAGGGGCACCCCAAGAACGACGTTGGCGTTTTCGTCGTTGCATTCGTCGGTGGTGGCTGCCATGGCGTGATGCATGCACCGAACCTCCTCCTTGATTAGAGGATTTGGTGGAGGGGGTGGAGAGGAAAGGTGGCCTTACATGCATGAAGATGAAGGCCTCGTTTGTGCCAATGCCAACTCGATAATGTTGAGTGATGATGGGTAACTACCCTCAATTGGCAATTCTCATTTTTCAACCGTTGGTTGAGTTAAGTGGCGCCAAATATAGATAATCTATGTTTTCATTATTGGCAAATAATGTTTTTGGATGATATAACAATAGGGTCATTTTCAGCAATTAAAAATAAATAAAATCCTAAACAATAAATAAGTCATATTATCAATTTCATGTTACCATGTATATATTTATTGATCTATTCAAAAATAAATAAATAAATACCAATACTTTTTAAAATATGCAGACACGGTAAAATTTATTATTTTTTCTTTCAATAATACTAATACATTGGACCAATTGGTGAGTGCTACACGATCTCATACATTAATATCCATCATTTATACATTAATATCCATCATTGTGGCTGGGCTTTGAAGATCTATCTTAAATTACTGTTCAATATACAAAATTATATAATATCAAGATTAAAAGCCCATTTAATCTTGTAGAGAACTTTGAAAAAATATTTCTTTTTCTTTCTTAACATTTGATAAATATAGCAATCCACAGTGAAAACCAAAAATATTACACACTTTATATCCCAATTGTAATAAGTGTAGATTAGTTGTCACCCACTTAAAATGGCAGTTACTTACCCAAGCCAAATTAGAAAATAATAATAAAATAAAAAGGAATAGAAATTGAAATGAATATTTAAAAAAAAAAACATTAATCATAATTTTGTTGCGTGATAACACTATAAATCGGATGATAGAAATTTTTAAATTTTAGTTCTCTTCAACTAAAATAAATGACAAAGGCAACACAATAACTTATTTGTTCTAGAATCAGCTAATCTTATTTTAAAAAATAAAACACTGAGCAACGACTTCGTGCACATGATAAACGTTAATCTATTAGCGAGTCCGACTTTAGGTCGACTTCTCAACAATCGCAAATTACTTCACAGACTTTGCCTTTTTCTTTCAATTAGTTCGTAAACATGTTTTCCTTATGCCCATTGGTGTTTTACGGGATTGTATACATTATAAACAAGTAAAAGCCAAGGCAGAGAAGAAAGTGGAATGAATAAAATACAAATCAAGAACGAACATTTAGACATCTAGCTACTGTATTCTACATGGCATTTTGGTGTCAGGAAGTCCTATTTACAATAATTTTAGAAAAGAACACAGTCAATTGGTAACTTAAAACACAAGAAATTGACAAGAAGAAACATATATAAACCAGAAATAAAAATGCAACGGAGCTCTATACATAGCAGGCGGCTCGTCAAGTGTTACCTATAGATGAATTTTAGGATTCCCGATAATTAGTCAGATTAAATGTAAGTGTTCTCGAAGAGCTGCAAAAGGAAAATTCATGGACAATAAGATTCTGGATTTGTGCCAAATGACTATTTAAATCAACTAATAAGGTGAAGAAATTTACCCTCTTTCAGAGTCTCTGTAAACCCCAACTAACGCTTCGGCTTTGTCATAAAAGGTGTCTTTCAGTGATATCACAATACTCTGAAAACCATTCCCTCCTTCGGAATCCTGAATAACCCTCGCTCCTTCACAAGATTTTGAACGAATAAAGCCAGCAACCTTGGCGACATTCAAGTTGTCCAACGCAGCATCAACTTCGTCCAATATAAAAAATGGTGAAGGCTTATAACTGAAACAAGCAGGTAGGGAACCATGTTAATGGACACATGAAGTTCAAAATCTAAGCAAAAAAGTACTTTTATGCGAGATGTGTCAATATATTGCTTAGATGCACTTTTATTAAAACTCAAATTCATAGTTAAAAAACATTCTTATTCAAATCCAAGTTGTACAAACAACTCTACCTGTGGATGGAGAATAGCAATGCAAGTGCAGCAACTGTCTTTTCCCCACCAGATAGCTGCTCCATATCACGGAAACGTTTTGTTGGGGGCATAGCAGTGTACTTGATGCCATGTAGAAATGGATCATCGTCATTTTCCAAGTTTAGGTATGCTGTTCCCCCCAGTGGATGTGTGCTGCTCTTTGTAAGTTGTTTGTAAATTTTATCTATATTACCAGATATGTGGTTGAAAGCATCCATGAACAGGTTGTACCTGCATCCAACACAAACATTGGCTTCATAATTAAGGATAACAATTGCAGCACTCCCAATGGCTATGCTAAGCCAAACCACCAAATTTGACTACTCTGACACAAAGCAAACTTAAAACAAAACAGCATATACAGATGGTACTGTTTCCATACTCTAAAAAATAGAAAATACATTCTGGAACTTCAGATACATGGTTCACATTCTCATTGTATGTGCAAAACAGTGTTTCAAATTCATGTCTCTCAAGAGAGGTGGGCAGGTAAAATTACCATGTCATCGAAACACAGATTTGCTCTTATACTCCTCTTGATGTCAGTAATTCCATCATCAAAATCAAATGGGTTCATAGCATAAACCTGCTAAAATCACTCCTCACTTCTAAAACAACTACTCATTTCATTTTTTCTTTTCATGTTTTCTGATGTAATTTTAAGATTCCTCAATGTACCTAAGCCATGCATACAATAAAGTATCCGCTATTAAATGTTATCATAATACTAGTAATATCAAATGGAACAAAAATAACTCATACCTTGTCTGCTTAACCTCATTGAATCTCTGTGTTATTTCCCTCTCCACTTTCCTGACAACCTCAAACTCTTCAGTTACAGCCTTTTCTTTTTCTCGTAGGGCCTCGTATTGGTCCAATGCCTTCAAATTTGGTGCTGTTCTATCAATCTCGGAGACTAAGGCATCCATTTTTTGCTTAAACTCTATCTCAATTTTATCCCTGTCAGAGTGTCTCCTATCTTTCAGTGCCCTACTTAATTCCTCAAACTCAATAACTGGTCCTGGTACTGAGCTATCAGTATCCATAGGATCTGGTATGATCGGAAGGCTAATCTGTTCTAGTTCACACTTTTCTAATATTTCCTGCTTTTGCACAGTCAACTGCTGAAGTTGTGCCTCCTGTAAAGACACTAAATATGTTGGCTATCTACATAGGCTACATTATGTGTGTAAAAGTTACACGAGAAACAAGAACTACAGTCCAACTAACCTTAGAATTTATCAGACGATTAAGTTTGGATATGTTTGTCGTGGCTGCAGAAGCTTTCTTCTTCCACTCCTGGATTTCCTTTTCACAATCTTCTGACTTTGATTTCCACTCTACAGGAATAATAAAAGAACAGAAAGAATTAGATTAACAAGGCAGAAAAAATAAACAACAAATTGAAGTAATGGTGGGTATGTAATCCAATCAATTTCAAATACTAAACAAACTACCAAGATTACCAAATCACCCAAACAACACCATCTATCCAAAAGAAGAAAGTGGGAATAAAAGAGCAAATCCAAAGAAACACAGCTATGTCACGTTGGTTTCTACTAATATCACACAGCAAACTCAGGTTGCACCAAATATACCTTTTATGTCTTCCTTAAACTGATTAATCTCTTCAGTAGCTTTCTCAGCTTCCGACTTTGCTTCAGCCTCTCTGTCCTGTACCCGTTTTAAATCATTCTCTAAAGCACGTAGAGAAGATTCCAATTCTTGAATTCGTGTACTCATGTCCCGATTTTGCTCATACTCCAATCTGCAGAATAATTTCAAAATATATAAGCAAATGAATGCATAAATCAATTCAAGTGTAACTAACTGGAAGGCAAATAAAAGTGAAACTTAAGCTCCAAATATCTTCTTTTCTTTTACATTGATTTTCCCCTTTATCAATTCTCTTAGGTAATTGAAAATTTTCTGAACATAAAAGGAGATGCAGTACAAGAAACTTTTGGTAAAGGACAACACTCCATATGCAACAAGGACCATACTCGATACTACATAACAAAAAGTTTCAGCTGTCTTACTAATTTTGTTGTAATAGTAGTCAATCTCAGATGGCGGAGCGGAGCCGTCGATCCTAAAAATGGGATAGCGGGAGGACGCGGAACAGGATAACCACTATTTTAATATTAACTTATATATATTAAATAATTATATATATATATAAAAGCTAAAAAAACAAAAAATAACTCTAAATTCATGCATTAAACATTTTTAATAATTAAAAGTTCATAGTACTCAAACAATACATAATATAAAATGTCTTCAAAACAAAATGCCAAAGCTCTAAGTAAGTAAAAAAGTAAACATTATAGTTTAATCTTCTTCCTCATCAAGATTCAAGTCTTCCCCTCCCTCAAATAATAAATAGCGGGATACTGTTATTCTATTTTTTTTTAATTTATATATATATATATATATATAATAATTTATAATACAAATAATTAATAATATACATATAAAACAGCAGAGGAGAAGTGGTTCGCGTAGGGAGAAGTAGTTCGCCCACGGAGAAGACAGCGGAGCCGCACAGTTTGCCTTTGCCGTGGACTCGTGGAGAAGAAGACAGCGGAGTCTTGCGCGGAGGAGAATGGTGGCTTGCGCACGGAGAAGACAGCGGAGCCGCGCAAAGGAGAATGGTGGCTCGCGCACGGAGAGGACAGCAGAGCCGCGCGCGGAGGAGAAGCACGGACTCAAGCTGTCTCCGCTGCCTTCCCTCTTAGAAGAAGACAAGTCTGTAGATGCTGGAGAAGACAGAGTCACCATCAGAGAAGACAGCCGCTGTCAGAGAAGACAGATCAACAGAGATCCGCCAGAGAAGACAAATCGACGGAGATTTGTCAGAGAAGAAGACAGATCGGCGGAGATCCGCCAAAAAACGAAGAGAAGATCCATCGCCCACCCGCGATCACACGCTCCGCCGCTTTCGCGGCCGCTCCGACCACTCCTTCAAAGCGCTCCGCAACAAACTTTTTGTAGCGGCACGGAGCCGCTCCGCGATTGCGGCCGCGACAACCGCTATTGACTACTATGGTTGCAGTACATCATAATTGACTGGTGGCTTCTACAGTACAGAATCTATGATTTAGCCAAGGACCAACCCACATGTTATTAATCTAAAATCACTGATTAGAAATAGAACCTAACAAAGAAATAGGTACAAGATAGACATTTTCTGACAACCCACCCAGTTAAACAGTGGAACAATTATATATAATATACAAATAGTGTTTCTATCCCCCAAATAATATAGTAATTACTAATTAGTGTTAAAAAAAATAGCTTAACAATGGTTGAACTTCAATAATTGTAGGTTTCTTCTTTCCACTTCATATTTCCAGCAATTTTTTCCCTCCAATTTGATAGCAGTTTGAATATGTACTAGTTGATGCTATTGAACCCACTTTTAGCAAAGTTCATACATATTAGTTGCTTGCGAGCCCATAATTGCGTTCATGCATGTAAAACTATGTAGGTTGTTGGAAGGCCACCTTAATCGTGGGCCTACCTTAGTTGCAGCTCTTTGGGGGCTACCTTAATAGCAACCTCAATAATGGTGGTTTAGTCTAACAGCCACTAGAGATGTAGCAAAAATAGAGTTTATAAAGCTTGGCCAATTTTCATCTTAATGCCGATTTTGTAGAATTGAGTTAAGTCTTAAACCAAATTCTAAAATAGGGCAAATTAACAGATAACAAGAGGTAAATTTTAAGCAAAAGAGAAGAAGGAATGTACTGATATTTTAATTTTGAAAGTTGGCTACTGAGCTTCAGCCTCTCCTCTGCTACATTTTGAGCAGCTTTGAGTCGATTTTCTTCATATTCACGGATGTTTGCTACCCCAACTGACTTGCTGAAGTCTCTGTATATCCTATCAGTAATTTCATTTATCCTCTTCTCGAGCTTTCGTATGTCTGCATTCTTCTTGTTAACATCATCATTTAACTGCCGAGAATAAACACAACCAGTTAGAGCTACAAGAATAATGCTATGACTAGACTAAGGAAATGTAAATGTCACCTTCTGCACTTCTGGAATGATATGTTCAATTCTTTCTTTGATGGTGTCTTTTTCTTGGCTCAAATTTGAAAGTTTATCTTCAATACTTCGCTGGCAAAGTTAAAAGCATAAAAATAAAATACTTCAAATATTCCATACGGAAGACATTAATGATAAAAGTCATCAATGTAGAAAAGGTTCTTAAACATGCGAAGCCAAAACTAGTATTTATCTATCTAAAGATACACAAAAGCTTCATTTTCAAGTATTAAACTGAATATAATATTAACAATCAAGCCATACATTGATTAGCCTCATCGATAAATCAGCAGGACCA